TCATATCAGTCATCCACATCTAATCAGAACAAACCCGATTCTCCATATGGTCAGTCACCTACCCCCGATCAAGCCCCTTCTTCTTTTTTAATTTACACACACACAGAGAGGGAGAGAATGGCTTTTGTTGTGACAAATAGACCGCTACGCCAGGGGTGGACATGCTAGGAGTCCTGCCCAGGCTTTTGTTGAATTTTACACCTGCTTTTCTGTTGACTATTTTTTCTCAGTATTTCCATTGTTATCATTCTATTATAATGAACACTGACATTCCATTTTGTGTCTCTACTTAACATTTGTAAATTTGCACACCAAATTAAAGGAAAAAAATGAGATAAATTACTTCAACACTACACAAACAAAAGGCAGTTTTCTGTTGAAAATTTTGAATTCAAAGAAAAGGAACTAAATTTTAAAGGGGTGATTTTTCAGCTTTTGTCCATCATTTGTCACATCTTGTCAAGATATGTTTCATGCATTACCATGGTGATATAGCTGCTAGCTTGCATACACATGTATCTGATGCAAAGCAATAAATTTGTAGATTGAAAAATCTTATTGATCTTTTTATAGCATGAATAACAAGCATGTAAAGATCAATTTTCTCATTGGTCGTCATCATATTTAATGAATGAAAATTACCAATTGTATAAAGGCAGATTTGATAGCTTTGTTAGTGTATGAAGATTCAAGGTCAGTAGCAATTGTGATAAGCAATTTCATTTAAAAAGGATGCAAATTTAGATGTTTATTAACTCTGATGAAAAAGTGATGTATACTTGTGTTATTCTGCAGGAAACAAGAAGTAATACTGTATTGTCGCTTAAACAAAGTATAAGTACTGTCAGTACTCTGATTTACTCTTTGACTGATTGAATCTTTAGCTGAGAGCTAATATCTGCTGGATTCATACTTAACATATAAAACACACGGTACAGGCATGTTTGATGGAAAACTGTAATTCTTGGTTTTGGAAACTCTATAAAACAAATATTATTTTGTTGAAATAACTTACTCACTTTGTTCAGTCATTAATGAAATATTTACAAGAGGTCCCCTGGCTGACCTGAGTCACCATTCTTGTCCTGACAAATATACACTAGTATGTAGATGAATGAAAACTTTTACAGTAGCCATTTTCATAACTTATGTGATTATAATTCTGTTTAACGATAAATCGATGTTATGGCAGGTTTACAAACTCTTGCATGCTATTGTTATTTACTTGTGTTTAAAAGCTCTCTATACACTGCTAACTAAAGACTTCTAATTTTATGGTATTTTGCAGATAGAGTAATCTGCCCTTTGATCAAGATAAAATAAATTGAAATGTACTCTTATGACTTCATTTGTTATCAAATCAAGCATTCATAAAATTTAAATAGGCCAATATGAATAGATTGAGCTATTCATTTGCAGGTATTTTGCCCACTTAAGTTAACAACAGTGATTTCTGGTCAGGCCATCTTTAAAAAAATTGTTTGTTTTCCCTCCCCCGACCTACTGGCTAAAAATGGCCAAATCGAAACTTTTTTAGACCTTCCAAGATACGATATTTTTTCTGTATATTCCTGAATTTTTCATCCCGTCATTTAGAAATCTTCTGAAAATAACTTTTTTCGACCTACCTGCCGACTCAATCTTTTGACCCTGATTCGGGAGAGGGCAAACAAACAATGTTTTAAAGATGGCCTCATCAGTACTTCATTTTCTTGTATTGGCTTTTGATAATTTTACATGCTTTTTTGTTTGTGTCCATTGTTTTCATTTTTTTTATCGCCAACACTGAATTCCATTCCGTGTTTCTTCTCAACATCTGTATACTTGCACAGCCCAAAGAAGGGGGGGGGGTTATATTCAACATTACGTTAACCAATGAATGCATTTATTATGAACATTTTGAATTTAAAGATAAAAGGAACTAAATTTTGAATGGGTGAGTTTTCGGCTTTTGCCTATTATTTGTCACATCTAGTCAAGATATGTTTCATGTATTACCATGGTGATATAGCTGCTAACTTGCATACACATGTCTGATGCAAAGCAATAAATTTGTATATTGACACAATCTTGTTGGTCTATGTTACAGCATACATATATAGCAAGCATATAAAGATCAAATTTATCATTTTACACCTACGAGGAGTGGACATCATATTTAATGAGTGAATCTTGCTCCATTTTAAATGAATGGAGGAAAATGTTACATGCTAAAAGGGGGCCAGGACTTGAAAGTTGCAGAAGTGTTATTTTGAGTCCAAAACATCTTGACCATTGCATAAAGTCAGATTTGTTAATGTTGTTAGTCAGGGTATACATAACGGGTTAAGGTTAGTATCACTTCTAAAGAGATCATCTTATTCAAAAAGGAGGCTAGGTTACATGGTCATTATCTATGGCATAAAAAGCTTTGGAGTATAAATATAATTAACAACTAAAAAATAAGGTGTGGCTAATGTACAGACAGAATATAAAGATGCTGGAGTGATACCCAAAGTCACTCTAAAGGAAACAAGAGTAAACTGATACTAAGTATAAGTATTCTCAGTACTCTGAGTTACTCTGATTGATTCAATGGCTGTATTTTAGTGGCTGCAAACTTTTGATTTTATGACATGTAAAACACCACGTACAAACATGTTTGATGGAAAACTTTTTATTCTAGGTTTTTAGAAACTCTAATAAAATATATAAATTTATTTAAAAAAACTTGTTCACTTTGTTCAATAATAAATATTTACAAGACGCCCCTGGCTTACCTGATTCACTATTATCTCCGTGACAAATAAACACTAGTATGTAGATGGTAAATTTACGTTATGTCATATTTACGAGTGATATAACCTTTTTCTTGCACACGTTTCTTATTTAATTTTTTTATAACATTGACAATTTATTGCGACTTTCCCAGAAAGAAACCAGTTCTTGGATATTAAAACGACATTTTTCAATTTATTGAAGTACTGTTGTGATTGAGATTATATGACTTTTTCTTCGACAGTTTGGCATTTCAATACACGCGGCTACATGCTCATACTAAATTACGCCCAAACTTGACTTCTGTTTACATACACTCCTCTTATCTTATTGTCAAACAGAGATTGATGCTTATTCTCACTTCCCACCTAATCATAGAACTGTGTATCCTTCTCTATGCCCACATCTTTGTAATACAGTGACACAAACTAATACTCCCCTCCCACCTAGTCATCAAACAGTGACACATACTTATACTCCTCTTCCACTAAATTATCAAATATAAGTTACCCATCCTTATTCTCTACTTCCAATTTATCACCAAAGAATGACAAATACTTATACTCCACTCCCCCCTCGTCATCAAACAGTAACTTATGTTTTTACTCATCTCCCACTTATTTATCAAATATTAATACAAGCTTTTATATTGCATCAGACCAAGCAATATCATAGAAAATTATAGTTAATTTGACAAAGTATTGTCCATATTTTACGACGCCTCTTACGACCAATAAGTACGGAATAAGGCTATGAAAACTTTTAATTTAAAGAGAAAAGGAACTAAATATTAAATGGGTAACTTTTCGGTTTTTACCCATTATTTGTCACATCTAGTCAGAATATGTTTCATGTGTTACCTATCCGATGCAAAATAATAATAATAATAATAATAATAATAATCTGTATATTGACACAATCTTGCTGGTCTATGTTATAGCATACATAGCAGACATATAAAGATCAATTTTCTCATTGGACACCGACATGGAGTGAAATTCACATTTAATGATTAAATCTTGGTCCATTTAAGTGAATGAAAGAAAATTTTACATGCTAAACAGGGGATCAGGACTTGAAAGTTGCAGATGTATTGGTTCGAGGCCTAAAGGAAATTACTAATTGTTGGGGGAAAAAAATGTTTAAAGTATGAAGATTAAAGGTCATTTGCAAAAGAACTTGTGAGAAACTATTTCATTTTATTTAATTAGGAGGCAAATTTAGATGTTAATTAACTTTCGTGAAAAAAAGTGAAGTATGCTCTTGTTATTCTGAAGGAAATAAGAAGTAATACTGCATTGTCACTGATACCAAGTATAAGTACTCTCAGTACTCTGATTTACTCTTTGACATATTGAATCTTTGGCTGAGGACTGGTGGCTGCTGGATTCAAACTTTGACATATAAAATCCTAGGTACAGGTATGATTGATGAGAAAACTTTAATCCATGATTTTGGAAATTCCTAATTACAAATATAATTTTGTTGAAATAATTTTGTTCAATCATTAATAAAATATTTACAAGCACTTAACAATCCTTTTTTTTAATCCTGTGTACGAAAATGTACTGGATTAACAATCTCTATATCATTATCTGATTTAATATGTTTGGAGATAAAGTAAATTGGATTAACGTTTTATCTGGTTTTTAAATTAGTAGCTTTTGTTTCATCACTCGGCCTACCTTGCGTACAGACTATGTACAGGTACATGAAAACACGACTTTTGATATCTCTGTGGAAAATATTTATGATCCCTGCTTATATTTGCTTTATTTATTTAGAAAAAGTATATATATTTTTTATAATAAGAAGACAAACCTTTTTTATAGATATGTTCTGAGAAAGAGCAGAATATAGCTGCCCATTACAACATAATGAGTATAAATACATGTCATATACTGAGATAAGTAATGACATAAAGTTGTTTATACCATTTGTTTAATGTAAGTAAATATCAAAATCATTACAGACATGTTAGGACTTAACCAACATTGCCTCTAGTTTTTGTTCCTTTTCATCATTCAAGTCGTCTTGAGAGTTTCATTGCTCTTTTTTCAGTCCCACCATACCGGTTATTTACCACTGAACACAGCAGACTGTGCGTTCTTAAGCTTTGTGTTGTGACAGTACTGATATGAGTATATGACATGAAGTTGTTTATACTATTTATTTGATAAGAATGAACTATTAATTTTATTATCAGCATTCTTGTCAGGACTGAATACGCATTTTTAAACGATTTAGTTTTTGTATCTGATCATCATTACAGTCTGTTTTAATGCTTCAGTTTGTTTCCAGTGATACCATACCGGGTATTTACCACCAGTCAGAGCAGACTGTGCATACTCTCCATTAAGGTTGGAGTTGTAACAGGACTTGTACCACCAGGCTCCGTGAATTATTGTAGCACAGTTATCACTACTAACGTCATTGTCCTGATCTTTAGTGCTGAATTTACTACCATTGTGAGGATAAGTCAAACTGTCACCTGTTAAAGAGTATTGATAACAAAATTTATTCCTATCAATAACACAGAAAGAAAAAAAACATCATGATCAACAATGATATGCACTGTATATCTAACTAGTAACACTCTCCTAGATATTAGGAAAAATCCCAAGTCATTTTTTAGAAACATACGTCATATACAGTGTATATACAAATCTTTTAAGTTGTGATTCCTTTTCATTTAAAAATATTTCAGAATAAGATTTGTATCAAAATATGTTATGTAAAATTATTTCATGTACAAATGTATAAAATTATACTTCTATATTGAAATAAGTTTATAATTTATTGTCAAATACTAAGTATTTACACTGTATTTAAGGAATCACTGTCTAGTTTGTTGGTTATCCTACGTCATTACATGTAACGACAGTTGGAAACATGGGATAATTTGCAAAACGGGTGAAACCTGCATGAATTATTCCACGTTTTCAATTGTTGTTAATGTCCTTCGCAAACTCAAAACCCATATATAGAAGTGAGATACACGAGACATTCTATGTTAATTTATATAGTCCCCACCCACTGGCGTCAAACACAAGCACAGCCGGAAATCATCGTCTATAGAGCAAAAAATACAATGCTTTACATCTTTTTTGTTGAATGAAGCCAAATATAAGCACAAATAGAATGTACCATTATTCTGGCAGTTTGTGCCGTTTAAATGCTATTTGTGATGTTTGGATCTAATATTCGGTATTTGATCCAGTTTTCAACAACAATTAAAAAACAAGAGGCCCATGGGCCACAACGTTCACCTGAGTAACGTTTGCCGTCTGTTCTTCACCAGAATACTTACTGTAGCCCCACCTTACCCCTGGGGGGTCATGGCTTGAACGATTAGGAATCTACTCTACCTCAGATTGATTTCACATAAGTTTCAGCTTTTTTGGTCAAGTGATTCTTAAGAAGAAGATTTTTAAAGATTTTTCCTATACATTTCAATGTAAAATTTAGATTTTTTATTGTTGCCCTACCTTACCCCGTGGGGTCATGGTTTGAACAATCTAGAATCCACTCTAAATAGGGAAGCTTCAACGTAAGTTTCAGCTTTTCTAGCCCAGTGGTTCTTGAGATGAAGATATTTAAGGATTTTTTTCTATATATTTCAATCTAAAACTTTGATTTCCTATTGTGGCTCCACCCTACCCCCGGGGGTCATTTTATTGAATAATCTCAAATTTATACTATCCCAGGATGTCTTTTCTTTATTGTATTTCCTTGTAGGGGGACTTGCCCCTTTATTTAAATAACTTTAACTCCCGTTCCCCAATGGATACTTTTTACCAACTTTGGCTAAAATTGTCCCAGTGGTTCTTGAGAAAAAGAGGAAAATATGAAAAGTTTACAGACGGACTGCCGACGGACAACAGGTGATCAGAAAAGCTCACTTGAGCTTTCAGTTCAGGTGAGCTAAAATGGTTTGTGTGTAGAAGAAAACTGCTGATAAATTCATGTATTCGTTGTTTACAACATAAGTGGTATTTTCATGTGCATTGGATGATGAAGGCTGTGTGTATTGGGTATTGTATAAGAGGACAACATTAAAAAATAATGGGAAATGATATCATACATTGTCTGGAAAAATGTAATTATCTTGGTATTCTACTCAGTAAAAGGTGCAAAATTTCAGATAGGATAACCTCTGCATGCCAAAAAGGGAGTAAGCGTATTTCGCACTTAATATGATAAACCCATTAACACTCTCGCATCTATACAAATCATTTGTCTAACCTTTGGTACTTTGTGGCAAAAAATTATGGAAAAACAAGTCCGCAAGTGATTCCACCGATTGAATGTTTTCCAACATTTAGTGGTCAAAAATGCCGAACATCTCCACTTTAAGAACAAGATCTGTCAGCTGTGAAAACCTTTTTAAAATTCTTACAGTACAAGCTGAGATTGCTACAAGGAAGCAGCTATTTCTTTGTCAAATCTTCTAAAAAAATGTTTGTCATACTTTGAGGGAATCACTCATTAACAGCTAGGTATTATTCTGGATATTTTCATCTCTTTTGCATTTATAACTATTGTGAATATATGAGAGAATGGCTTTTGATGGGTTTATTTCTATCAAAATCAGCTTGGAAATGAACTGTAATATCTGCAACTTTTCAACAAAATAAGCTACAGAAAGAGATACTCTTAGTTCAGGTGATCTAGGATTCGATGGTTTATGTAACATATTTCAGCATGATAACCCGATGTTGTTCTTGCAACTACCTTCTATCAAATTGGTCTCGGAAACTCCAAGAGACAATACTGATTTTTTCCCTCTGAGGTGCTATACTACAGTATATGTTGATCTCTTTAAACATGCCGTGTCATATTTGTCTTACATAATCGATGGTGGGAGGAATTAACCAAATATTCTATTCGCCTGTGTGCCGAACTGAATGTACCCTACACGATGAGGAACTGTACCTGATTTTGCTAGGCCGTAAGCCGAACACCATTCTTTCCATTCACGGAACATACAGCTCCGTAACTTTCGTCTTATTCTCAGTGTCTGGGTTTACGTTAAGCATGATAGTGCAATCTTGTGAGTGGCGGATGCTCCCAAAGCCTTTTTCCTTTCAGACTCCCATTATTTATTTTAATAAATTTTCGTGATAACACCTAGATATAAATATTTAACTTTAAACTTGATCCTCAGTTAGTGGTTTCAATCTTTGTAAGTATATCATATTCTATATATGTATCCATGCTTTTCACTTTTGTGTGTACATGTATATGTGTTATTACTTGGGAAATAAAGTATAAATGAATGAACACGAAAATGCAGTAATAAATAGATCGACTTTTGCACACAGGAGCAGATTTGCTCATGAGTAAATATATTAATAAGTAAATAGAGTAATAGACAATTAAATAGTTCTTATCCTCTGGTATTAAGAACAATATGCTTTTATTTATATAGAGAAAATGCAACAACACTAAAGTTAATTATTTATTTGTATGTGGCGAGTATTGTCGTGGCAATATTCGTGGGTCGCCGAACAAATCAACACAACATTGGCAGACCCACTTGAGCATCAACAACAAATCAATCAATCATCAAATTCAGCAATTACATAAAATGGGCCATCCCGGGTAATCCGCGGACAGTTACTTAATCTTTACTTCACACACAACCTACAATAATCATCTCAATACAAAATGCAGTTATTATAAAAGTTATCAAACCCAGTCACAAACAATGCAGTTCCCATCAGCACAAAATTTTGACTCAGTGTTAACCATTATTCAACTTATTTCACATTAATAATACTTAGTTTAGATATCAGTTGACTTTAGTGTGCGCATATGCCACGACGCTCAGGAATGGATCTTTTCCTCCTTAGGATTCCTTATTGCCATTGCCTCTCGGACATCGTCTTGATTGTACCAGTTCATCCACATCAATAAGGCTATGACAATTTTCCTACAAATTAAACCAAAAGAGCAGTATCTATTGCCTAAACAAAATAAATTCTAAACTACTAACCTATTTTTATCTCAAATGAACTTCAGAAGTTGCAAAATTTTTTTAAAATCAAAAACTTCAAATACATTTATTAGCCTACACCTAACAGAATGGGATGGGTGGGTGGGCAATAACAATTTTTTACCAGTCGATTACTTGTATTTTTACCAATTTATGCTCTTGATAGATCTGCGTCTGTTCACCATTCAGCAACCAGATTTAAAAGGGAGCCCGAACCCGATGTTAATTATGGAATCTCTGTACATCATTCATCAAATCCGACTTCTTTCCTCATAAAATAAATGCATCTATTTTTGATAATTAAATAGATGCTATTATTTATATAGAGAAAATGCAACAACACTAAAGTTAATTATTTATTTGTATGTGGCGAGTATTGTCGTGGCAATATTCGTGGGTCGCCGAACAAATCAACACAACATTGGCAGACCCACTTGAGCATCAACAACAAATCAATCAATCATCAAATTCAGCAGTTACATAAAATGGACCATCCCGGGTAATCCGCGGACAGTTACTTAATCTTTACTTCACACACAACCTACAATAATCATCTCAATACAAAATGCAGTTATTATAAAAGTTATCAAACCCAGTCACAAACAATGCAGTTCCCATCAGCACAAAATTTTGACTCAGTGTTAACCATTATTCAACTTATTTCACATTAATAATACTTAGTTTAGATATCAGTTGACTTTAGTGTGCGCATACGCCAAATGGCTGCAAACAAGTCAAAGTTTGCAGTCACCCCACAAGGGAGCACCAAGTCAACTGACCCACGACAATACTCTACCCTCTTAGTTATTTCCTTCTGGATAGACTGTTCCTAATTTTAGCTGGAAGTATTCTAGCCCCCCCCCCCCCCCCGAATTGTGTTAAGAAATACAGAATTTCCCATGTCAGAAAGGTGAACACCATCTTTTAACAAAAAAGGGAAATATATCCCGCAGGAGTTCTGGATATTTTATATAACAACCTCCCAAACTAAGGACATGTTTAGCGATAGCTCTATTGAAACGAACACGGGCTCTTTCCATTGCCTGATCATTTTGGGAGTACCTCCATTCTAACCTAGGAAGGACCTGAGATCATATAAATTTGGAATTTGGGAAGTGATGTACCAAGGCTTTCAAGTCATTTTTTGATTCGTGTATTAGTTTACACAGATTTTTATCCCTCCTACCTAAATCATTTCCTCCACAATGAATCAGAATAAACTGTGGTGGCATTTCTATTCGCTTCAAACAAAACAATTTCATTTTTAAGTCAGTAATCTTTAGCCCAGAGTATCCTTGCCACCATATTCTCAGTCCTATTCTTTCCAGCCCTAGATTCAAGCCTCCTGGTCGGTTACGTGCTGCCACAAATGCCCTCCGTATTATTGAAGAGCCTACACACCAAACTTGATATCTTTCTGTAATACTTAGTGGAGCTAAAATAGTGTCGATTTATATGTTAGAGGGTTAACCCCTTGTATTTACTATCTCAAT